AAGGCAATTTGAAGCCTTTATATTCATCACTGATTTTAAAATTGTATATATACATGTATGTATATATATATGTGTGTATATATATATATAAATTACTGACCTAAATGAACGTTGCCTTGCAGAGTTGAAGTAAATATGTTGGAGGAGCCATTTACTCATGAAAGAGAAACTATTCTCCTTCCATGCCAAGGGCCACATATAATGTATTCTGATAACTATCACATAAGATGATACATCCTGAGACCCAGTCTTTCTGTGTGCATTCTTTTGAATATTTCTTTTGTTTCTTTTTTACTTTCCTTTCTTTCTTCTTGAGACAGGGTCTCATTATGTATCCCTGACTGGCCTGGAACTCACTTTGTAGACCAGATTGGCCTCAAACTCACAGAGATCTGTAAAAACAGGTAGAGGCCAGCTTCTGTCTCCCGAGTTCTGGGATGAAAGGTGTGCTCCACCATGCCTGGCCTACTTTTGAGCTCTTAAGTAATTTTGCTGAATAGTTGTGAACTCACTCCAGTAGAGAAATAAAATCAATTACCCATAAAGATTTTACAAATCTTAGTTTTTCAGAGTTTTATGTACTTCTTGATTTGTTGCTAATTTAGCAGGAGGTGCATTTCCTAAAATGATCAACGTGAACGTTTAAATAGTCTACTACTTACTATATAAAGGATATCCTGTGGTGGTCACACAGTATTGTGGGAAAAGTACTTTATCTTCAGGAGAAATAAATTAGCCGTGATGTATAACAGCTACAGCTAAGTTAAAAAATATTATATAGAGAGAGGGACTTTATTCTGATAATGTCACTCTTCTGAATTTCTGTCTCTTTAGGAAAGAGTAGGTTCTTTGGTTTTCAATTTAACAAAGGTAATCTGATTTTCAATTTAATGAAGGTGGGTAAGTTTTCTTTAAATAAAAAGGGGAGTGAGTCTTTGGCTGAGTAGGGTACAGTTTTAGGGGCTCATGCTAATGTATAGGAAAGGGCCTTGATTGGGACACTCGGTTGAAGAGTCTACACAAATCTCTCTCTACTTTTATCAGAGCTAGATTCACCTGACATGCTGAATCCTGAATCCCACTCTTAGAGAATCCCATTTACTAGAGAGACCAGGGTGGGACATAGTAGTTTACACTGTCCACAAGCACCAGGTGAGACTAATAAGGATGTCTGGAACACTCACTTGAGGAAATACTCCTTTTAGGGATAATTGATTGGCATTTTGTATTTCTTCTGCTCTCCTCCTTAGCTAGTCATCTTTTGTTATTTTACCCTAATTTCTACCTTTGATAACTTCTTGTTGTAAGAACACTTAACATGGTATCTACCCTTGTAAAAAAATTAATGAACAAACCAAAGGTTGATAATCACAAGATCAGTGTCTATAGACTATCTTTCATAACCAAGCTTCCATACTTTGGGGTTGTTCTAAATATTTGCTTTTGTACATTTACTATCATAGTTCTTTAATTCAGTTATATTATATATGACTACCCAAATATATTGTATATATGACTACCCCAATACATTCTGGACCAAATACCTTACTGAATTAATCTCTTTGGAAGATTTTTCCTAATTACCTGAATTATAACATGATTCATAAAACACATATCACTAAGGGAAATTAATGAAGAAAACATTGATTTGTATCTCGCCATTTGGTGGAAGGCACCTGTAAATCAGGAAATGCTATGGAAATGATTTCACTTCGAGTATCATTTGCAATAATTGAAAATGTCAGCACAGCACTGTCCCAGGGACAGTTGGAGAATATGACACACTGGGCATCGGCTGGCAGAGGCCTCTTTTTGCATCTTGTCTTGTGTGTCTGATTCACAGCGCAAGGTTCCCTTTTTAGTTTCCTCATGTGCAGACCTGTGCGTGTGGTCACTAACCATTTACCGGAGGGAAGTGACTACATCTAAAAATAAAATCTAGCAACTCTAAGGGAGAGGCTAGAGTTTCAGCTCTGGACTCGGTGAGGTTGTCAACAGTTTACAGTGAAAACTAAATATATAAAGGATAAATCAAGTCTCTCCACTGCTTTCCTTTCGCTCTATGGCTTGCTTGATGATTTCTTGGACTACTGTTTCAGGTGGGACAGAATTCAAGAGCAATATGGGAAGAGTCAATAACAACTTGAATTTTAAAGTCTTGAATTCAAATATTTTATATTCTTTGATCAGTTTTGCGTTATACTGGCACTATGGGATAAGGCATATTTTTATATTTTCATACTGCCAATAAATTTCAACTTGAATGCTAAGGCTTCCATCCAATTGTCAGAGGTGGGGAAGACAGTATTAAATATATACAGTGCTAGTTACCTAGTCACATTGTTTTAGTCAGTTTCTCTGGGACAGAAACACGTATCAACTAAGTTGTTTTTCCCTTAATTTGCTCTTAGGTATAAATACTAAATGATCTTAAATAGTATTAAAAATCAGAACACCCGACTGAAAAATACAGGTAAAATACATGGCAGAATGCCATTCAAAGAATATTTTTAAAATTTTTATTTATTATCTTTATTTGATGTGTAAGAGTGCATTGCCTGCATGTTGCAATGCCTGTGGAGGTTAGAAGAAGGCATCGGATTCCCTGGAACTGGAGTTACAGGCAGTTGTTAACCATCATGTGGGTGCTGGGAACCGAACCTTGATCTTCTATAAGAGCAGCCAGTGCTCTTAACTGCTGAGTTATCTCTCTAGTCACTAAATAATGTTTTTTTTTAATGTATAGTAAAACTTCATGTAAACTATCTATAGTGAATTGAAAACCCTGTTAAGCCACTTCTCTACTAATTGCAACATAACTTATTGACAAAAAATTCACTGTTAATTTCATATAGGGAATTTTCTTTATGCTTTTCATGAATCATAACACTTAATATGGTTCCACCTCAAAATCGTACAGTGACTGTGTAACTCTTAAATTTGGAAAGTGGAAGAAAGCCTCATAATGACTGAAGAATGCAGTTCCTAGCTGGGTATTTCCTGAAGAGGAAGAGTTTTGGATCAAAGCTAAACGGTGAAGGTGCTTGTTTGACCCCTTGTGACTGCTCTCTTAAAATAGCTGTGTCCCATTTTTGCTCATTTAGCCACTTTTTCATATATTTTTGTTATATTCTCGTCCAGTGTATTTTTGTTAGCCACTGTTTAACTCCTAACCTAGAATAGCAGATTTTGTTTTCAAGTGCCTTGGCAAAGTACAAAGTGCACAGGGGACTGAAGTCGAGTCAGTAACAAGGAGTGAAGAGGTCACCTTCCCTTCTAACCAGTAAGTCTGTTTTAGCCTTTACAAAATAAACAATGGAGCTGGAGCAATGGTTCAGTCAGTAAAGGGCTTAGCTTACAAGCACAAGAACCCAAGTTGGATTCCCAGAACCCATTTTTAAAAAATAAAGCAGGCAAAGTGGCACTCCCTTGTAATCCTAGCTCGAGGGAGACTGAAATAGTTGGATTTCTCTTGCTTGCTGGCCAGGCAGCCTACCTTACTTAGTGAGTTCCAAGCCAGTTAGACTTGGCTCTTAAAAACAAGGTGGACAGCTTCATGAGGTACCACACACAGGGTTACCTCCCTGCCCCCGTCGGCCTCCATATGCATGTGCACACATGTGCACCCCCCCCATGAACCTGAATTTATATGTACATCCCTCCCACAAACACCACACACACACACACACACACACACACACACACACACACACACACCGCACATGTATGCCCTATGTAATGGCTCTTTTCCATCCATTTATGAAAGGCGAGCAAATCAGTTCTATATATCTGTGGATAACTGGTGCCTTTGCATTCTCTAATTCTAGTCTTGAGGGAAGTTCTAAGTGTTGCCACCATAGGTGAGAAAACAATTTTCCTTAATGCAGGTTAGAGAAGATTGATGATAAAATTTCTATCAAATGAGAGAATTTTAAATTATTATTTCATAGGTCATGTTAATTCCATATACTATGCATATTCCTGTGGTTGAGGCAACAGAAAAATCAAAGCAGAAAATAGATAAGAGAAACAGAGATTAAGATGCTCTTCTTGCTCCTCTTTTCTCCCTTCCGTACTCCCTCCCTACATTATCATCTGTCTCCCTGATTCAAAAATTACTTTCCAGTCACTCCAAAGTGTGCTCCACAGGCTTGATCTCTCTTTTGAGTTTTGTAGCTTCCTTCCTTCCTTCCTTCCTTCCTTCCTTCCTTC